TTGAGTTCTTTTTGGTTGCTTTTCTTGGGCTTTAGAGTAATTAAGGCGGGGATCACAGTGATAATTTGTTTTTAATTGGAGTTTGAAATATTTATATATTAACTATTGAACCTTCTTTGTGCAGGAGTTTGGTTTAATTAAGAACATGCACAATTCTATTTGCTCGATTTCTCTGTAATTACGGTGGGAATGCTTGATGTTTATATGTTTATGTTGGTAAAAGACCCAGCATGATAGTTGCTAGGCTTAGTATTCACCTTTAGATAGACACTAAATTATTGTAAGTTGCACAAACACCAATCTATGTTATATTGTTTTGGGACAATCAGCAAGCTTTCCTCATGGATGCTTTTCTGAAGCTTAGGAGTAAGTTAATTATCATGGTCTATTATATTTCTTTGATATTTCTGTTGAATTTTTCTTGCCTCATTATGTGGGGATTCTGTTTTGTATAAATTGCGCTTTATAGAGGCATTGGGTAGATCTTTTTTTGTCATTTATTTCTGCATTCGTGCATTGTTTTGAGAAAGCCAACCATCTTCTCAGTTATTTGGAGTTGAGACTGCTTTATGTTAGCATAGCTTATAAACCAACATTAACTATTGTTGCATCTGGAGCTTAAATTTTTGGGTATGATCATAGCTAAAGATCCTAGTTGCTGCCTCATTTTCTGTTGCACTTTTGAGATGGTGTTTCAGCACTCTGAGATTGTTCACATATACTTGGGTCTCCTTTGTTTATGCTTCGCCACTGTCTTGACTGTCTTTCTAAATGGCATTTGGATTTCCATTATGTTCTCTCATGACCCCTTGGAATGGTCTCTGATGATCATTTTTCCTACAATCAACCAGGATGGATTTACTTGTTACTTAACGGAAAAAATCACCAAATCTGGTCATGTAGCTTTTCTATTGTAAATGCACCTTTCTGTAGATTGATGAGGAATTGATTTCATTATGCATATAAATAATCACAATTCCTGCATTTCACAGGGCTTGAAAACTGCCATCATTGAAGGGGATGTTATTGGAGGAACCTGTGTAAATAGAGGTTGTGTTCCATCTAAAGCTCTTCTTGCTGTGAGTGGCCGGATGCGGGAGCTTCAGAGTGAGCATCACATGAAAGCACTGGGTTTACAGGCACTGAAACCTTGATTTTCTCTATGCTTAGTTTTTTTATTAAGAATGTATATAGACAACATTATATTTATGTTGAAGATTTACATAAGATTGTGAGTTTATAGGTAACGGTACATGTTTTAACTTGGATGAAAACTTTCATTTCTCTTACTTTTTCTGATAAATTGTTCTTCTCTTTCTCATTTGTCTATACGTGATGTACAAAACTCGTATGTGGTTTCTGTGTTGTTGTCTTGCCTTTCCTTCCTTTTAATAGTGTGGTATAATTGTATAAAGGAGAATTTTTATGGAAGGTGGCTTTTGCTGCTTTTCAGATTTCCATAGGCATTGAAAATTGTTTTACTTACTGAATTTTTTTAAATGAAAAACATCTTTTAGTCAGTTTTCTTTTTCAGAAGTTTCTTTTTCATCATTTTTAGAACATTTGTTAACATGCAAATTTTTTAATTTTTTATTTTATTTTGTTTATTATATTATTATTATTTTTTAAATTTTTTTGAGGAAAGAGGATGGGCTTCAAATCAAACCACCCAGCCCGGACTGTATTAATATTAACATGCATTTAATTTGTTTTATTATCTGCAAAATCACTTTGAAGATCTGCTTCTTTGAACTTTTACTCATACTATAATAACATTAGAAATACTTTCCCACTGTGATGCTTGTTGGTTTGGTCTGATTTATATTCTTGCTCTAATTGCTTGCTCTGAATGACAGGTCTCGGCTGCTGGTTATGACAGACAAGGTGTGGCTGATCATGCAAATAATCTGGCTTCAAAAATTCGTAGCAACTTAACCAATTCACTGAAAGCTGTAGGTGTTGACATACTGACTGGTGCTGGGTCGGTTGTTGTAAGTCAACTATAGCAATACTCATGTTTATTCCACATTTGAAATTTGTGTTCTACATGTTGCTTTCTCATCCTAATTCTTTTCCTTCTGGTGATTATGTAATTTTTCACACAGAGTAAATGACCTGGATATTAGCTTCTAGGATCATGTAAATTGGCAGCAACAAGGAAACTGCCGTGCTTATTATAGAACCATCTGACTTGTTTTGCCTATTTGAATATTATTCCTCTTGATTCTGTAGGGAATAAAAATCTGCTCTGACTACTATTTTGGCTCATCTGATACTATTTGAATCCTGTAGATTAGCTTCTAGGCGCAAAATCAAACCAGATAGAATAAAAGGATATCCAGATTCAAATTTGGTTCATTTGACACTATTTGGATCCATATTCTAATTCAATTTGAATAATAATTGAAATTGGACTTGGATTCGTTTACTTAATTTGATAGTCGGTAGTTATTCGCATATATCACTTAAAAAGTTTTCATATTTTTGTAGGGAGGCAAGAACCATATTGATTTGTGGTGAGATGTCTATAAAAATTTGAGGGGCATACAAGTTAATTTTATAAGCACTAAAACGCAAAATAGTCTTTGAATCCCGAAGAACTTCTGAAACATCTTACTGTATTAGCTCTCTGAATGCATTAAATTATGATTTCCTGCTTTATAACATATAATCTTAGGTACCTGCTTATTTACATACAGAAATAATCATAGACTTCTCTTATTCTGCATGTATAACCTTCTGGTTATCCTTCTTCTATCTTTTTGGGTGTCTGTTCTTTCTGTCTATCTCCTTATCCTTTTTTGTGTTTATAATCATAACAGTCTGTTGAATTAATTTTGACTTGATGCTTGCACTAGAAATTTCCTGAACTTAATGCTTATGGAAATTGATGTTGCCTTGTTTTTCAGAGTACACACAAGGTAAAGTTTGGAGATACAGAAGTTACAGCTAGGGACGTAATAATTGCAACTGGATCGGTTCCTTTTGTTCCAAATGGCATTGAAGTTGATGGTAATATCTAACAGATCCATTTTTGTCAGAAATTCTACCATAAGCGTGCATAATCTTCAAATTAGTTTGGCATTACTGAATTCAAGATTAAAAGCTGTGAACTGAGAGTATTCCATGAAAAGCTATTTAATAATCTATTTCAGTACTAAGCTACCATGTGGCTAAATTGAAGACTAGTTCAAACCATGCAGTTTGAGTGGCTTGTTAAACTGGAGAGAGTATTAAATCAAGATGCTACATATAAATTGGATGCGGACATGATAGCGAACCATTTTGTGTCAAAGTGATTTTGTAGGACCTCTCTTCCTTTTCAAATTGGGAGAGTTGATTCTTATTACCCTTTCTGCTTTGCTTCTTTCTGTTCACTTATTGCTGATGTCACATGTTCACCAAAATGACCACAGAGAAAAGGATCTGCTGAGAGGGAATCTATTATAAGAAGAGAATATCTAAGACAATATATTTTTAAGAAATGGCTGAAAGTCTTCTTGCAGTAAGAAGCTTAATGCAGAAATCCACATTTCTGTTAGGCATCTTGTGTAGATATCTACATATGTAGATATATGATAGTTTAGATGAAAGCTCTCCCCCCTTTAAGAATTTGAGTCTAATGACTGCATTGAATCCAATAAGATACATTGCTTTATCATCATGTATGTGGCTGTATGCGGACTGAGCTCCAAAACCAGGAGGCAGACAGCATTTTGTGTTCATGTCCCTATTTACTTACACCTTTCTCTCCCTCTCTCTCTCTCTTACATACATAATAAGGCTGTGAACAGAAAAAGAAGAATCAGTACTCAGTGGTTATAAAGAAACAAAACATTCCTTATTCTGCAATCACAGCTACATGTTGGAAAATGAATGAGACACAAGTTGATGAAGTTTTCTAGGGGATGAAGCATATAAATTAGGATTCAAACTGTTTTTCATACCGAAGCATGATAAATATATGGAGACAAAATTTTAGTTGATCTGGAAACTTATCAACTAGTTCTGAACAGCTTTTCATTAAGAACCGTGGATCTTTTAGTTAATTTAAAATTATTTTAACTTTTGATTCCTATTACTGTTGTTCTTTACTCATTTTCTAAATATCCCTTCTCCAGCTACTCCTAGTGTTACATTAATAATCTGTCTTTAGATGATTGTTTTGAGTTATTATGATCATGAAGCCTTTCACTATTTTTTCGTGAGTACATTGAATCTTAAACACACTTACGTTGTTAATATTTATTCTGCTGACTGCATGTCTGTTTATTTTTTGTGTCAGATTTAAGTTTTAACATTCTCTTTTTCATTGCAGGGAAGACTGTAATTACTAGTGATCAAGCACTCAAGCTCGAGTGGGTTCCCGAGTGGATTGCCATTGTAGGAAGTGGTTATATTGGGCTTGAATTTAGTGATGTATACACTGCTCTTGGAAGCGAGGTACTGTATTGGTTTTAGGATCTGCTTCCTTTCTGAAATATCCAGCATTTCAACTTATCTTCCTTTTGGGATATCTTTGCTTACAACTATAAGACATTGTAGCATATGAGATATACTGTAGTATACAGAATTTGTAGATGTTGTCTCATTCCATATGTTCTTCTATCAGTAGAAGTTATCTGCTTTAACATGCATTTCTTTTAATTACTACGTTTTCTACTCTCCCTACCTCTAATGAAAATTGTAATTATTTGGCAGGTCACCTTTGTTGAAGCTCTGGATCAACTTATGCCTGGTTTTGATCCTGAAATAGGAAAATTGGCTCAGAGAATTCTAATCAATCCTAGGAAAATTGATTACCATACTGGTGTTTTTGCAAAAAAGGTTTCCCAGCTTTTTCACCGCCCTTATATTCCTCACAATTCTTGGTTTGCTCTTACATTTTCTTGTGGCCAATAATGATAAATCAATGCAATTACTTTTTCCCTTCTGTTTATAGATTACACCCGCAAAGGATGGAAAACCTGTTCAAATCGAGCTTATTGATGCAAAAACGAAGGAATTGAAAGATACTTTAGAGGTGACTTTTTTTCTTGAAGCACTTATTTTAGCGTAAGTCATACTTTATGACAAATTTGTCAACTGCTTATGTCATGTGTTAGAATCAGGCATTAAACTGCAAATATAAGTTTAAGAGTTTAACAAGTCTGGCATGAAGAATCCTATAGTGATTTTTTTAATGACCTCTCATGACCATATACTATAATTATATATCCTGAAAACAAAGGTTACAGGGTTCAATTTTTTTAGGCAATGCGAGGTATTTATCTGCTCTGGATAGGCAGACGGCAACAAGAAAACTACAATTACTGTCACTATATTTTTTACGGCATGTCCTTATTTTGGCTTAGGACCCTAATCTATCACCAACAAGGTTCCAGTTCCAATGGAGTGCACTTCCATCCGTACTTTCCTAGGCATGTCATAGCTGTTTTGGAACTAGCTATGTGTAAATGCATATATAATTTTTCTTTATTTTTTTTCAGGTGGATGCAGCTCTTATTGCCACTGGTAGGGCTCCATTCACAAAGGGTCTTGGCTTAGAGAATGTGCGTAGTTTCTACTTGGTTGCTAAACATAGATCTAGATAAAACTGTTCCTCTTTGTGCTACAACTAAATGGTAGCTGACCTCTTGCCCTTTATAACCGCAGATAAATGTTGTCACACAACGTGGTTTTGTTCCAGTTAACGAGCTCATGCAAGTTATGGATGCTAATGGAAATGTGGTTAGTGATGAGTTTCAATATGAAACTTGATGTTTTCATGTGCCTGCAGTGTTAAACATTTAATACTATCATGTTTGCAGGTTCCTCATTTGTACTGCATTGGGGATGCCAATGGGAAAATGATGCTTGCTCATGCTGCTAGTGCCCAAGGAATCTCGGGTACTAAAATACTCAAGCTTTTGATTCTTTAAGAAGCAAATTTAAACTCCTATTGTGGCTGCCCTCATATGTAGAACATTTAATCATTTGATTTCTGTTCTGCTGCTTAGTGGTTGAGAATATATGTGGAAGGAATAATGTGCTAAACCATTTGAGCATCCCAGCTGCTTGTTTCACTCACCCTGAGATCAGTATGGTTGGCCTTACTGAGGTAAGGGATTCTCTTATCATAAAGTGAAAACTACACACTTTTGATATCATGTAGCATGGGTTTAGTAATACTAGGATGTGCACTCGTGGAAGCAACCCATAAGTGATTCTCTTACTTTGTTGATAGTTTCAGATTGTTGTAGTTTATGATGCTCCAAATATCCTCCATTGTGAACCATTAGGCATCATGAGTATTGTCACAGAAACAAACTAGCTCTGCTACTGGGACACTTCATAGTATGTAAATATGACAGTAATGAGATATGCCTACAACAAATTAGCTGAATTGAAGACTATTTAGATATCTCAATCTATGAAAAAAATTAAATGTATGATGGTACTTGAATTCTGTAGTATTTACTTGCTGATAATGCTTTTGGGTCAACATGATTGTTTTAGTTGTACTAATTGGAACTTGTCTGCAGCCTCAAGCAAGGGAGAAAGCAGAGAAAGAGGGATTTGAGATAAGTATTGCCAAAACAAGTTTCAAGGCCAATACAAAAGCTCTAGCAGAAAATGAAGGGGAGGGCTTAGCTAAGGTGATCTTTCAATGCCTACTTGTCAACTTCATCTTTGCAAAAACAGTATCGTTTGCATTTCTGGGAGCATGAAGGTTGGAAACTTGCATTTTAAAAAAATTTACATGAAAGTATTCTGCTTTATTGGACATCTTGTTCTTCTCACTATATTCATGAATGGTCCTCACTGCAACAACCTTCATGCATCTTCAATGTGTTGGTTTGCGGTCATTGATGATCCTTTGTTACTATGATATTTAATCCTTTATACGTTGGATTGGCTGTCATATTGCGCTTGGTAAGTTCGTATTTGGTACCAGTTAGATGCATAACCTAGAGCTACCTTTAATCTTTTTTCTATTAATTTTTACATAAACTTAAAGGCAAATTTGTGATGGGATCAATAGTTCGAAAACTCACCCTTTATTGTTCTATTTTGTATTCTTAAATTAGTGTTTTGGTTCAATGTTAGCAGAGGCCAAGAACTATATGCATTCGATAATGAATCACCTCCATGTCTGAAGTAGATAGCAAATTATGTTGGGATATGGCTGGCATCTTATTTTCAACCTGCACTTATAGGCTTAGGAGTGTGTGTTAATTGTTCCTCCATGGTCTATGCATGACTTGGGATCTAGATTCGTATAACTGATCAGGAGCCTTTATTTTTCTTGATTTATGCTTGACATGGAATCTGTATTCATATAATTCGTCACATAATAGCCATACTTATTGTGATCAGTGAGCTACTACTAGTCAGTTGAAATCTGTTCAGTCTCATTGATTCTCAGTAATATTGTTCTGTGATAGATCTTTGTTTACAATGCTTCAAATTCATGGTGGGGATATTTCTGCATTTCCTGTTATCCTTTAACTTAAGTAACTACTTAACATAAATATAAATATTTCATGCAGTTGATATACAGGCCTGATTCTGGGGAAATTCTTGGAGTACACATTCTTGGCCTGCATGCTGCAGATCTCATCCATGAGGCATCAAATGCAATAGCCTTGGGAACTCGCATTCAGGTGATTTTGAAGATGCTGCATACTTGTGGTCAAATAAACAATACTCCTAAAAGCAAAGGCATTACAATAAGCAATGTTCAAAAACATCGTTTTATTATGTGTGCGGTCTGGGATCCCTTAACGATTAGTCAGATTATGATTATGTGCCAATTAATCGGATTATGCGAATTAAAATATATATATATATATATATATATATATATATATATATAATTTTCATATGCTAAAATATATGAAATTCATAAAAAATAGAAAATATACTTAGAAGCTTTGACTAATCTGTTTGTCGGAGAGCTTCGAGGGGAACATCAGAGAGCTTGAAGGTGATCGTCGGAGAGCAAGTAAGGAGAGCGTTGAAGGTCGTACAATCTTCTCATGAGCAAAGTTTTAAATATCAGAAATAAAAAATACATCGGATGACCGGAATTCATATTGGATTGCAGTTATCGGGGATATATCAGGGATAAGTAGAAAAAAATCAGATGATGAGCCTATATAATATAATGTCCTAAAATGTAATCTAAGCACACTTAATGAGAGTAAACATACCAAAATGCCTTCGAGAGAGGACCCGAGATTATCGAGCGATTGAATTTTGGGAGAGTGAAGGAGTCGAAGGGAAATTATGGCTGGTTGCTCTAAATGCAATGGGAAACAGTGAGTGAGATCGGTGATTTTGATTTTATTTAGTGGGTATCGAGTTTGGAGCTAAAAAATAAGGATTTTGGGATCCAAAATCCAACCATTAGTTGGGATGTTTTTCACAAAATCGATCGATTTGGACCCGATAAAAATCGGCCGATTAATTGGATTTTCACTGATATATTGGAGGAAATCGGTGAAAAACAATAATCTATTTCATTTTCCATAAATCGTATCGGCAGCGGTCAAACCCTATATATCGTTGATATATGGATAAAATTGGCAGATTTTAAAACATTGCTCGTAGTTTTCGCGAATGGTGTGAGGTCAAGCAAGGGTCAATGAAGGTTGGAGATATTTGTCACAGCCCCTGGGTTCGAACAAGAGAGAACAAAGAGAGTAACAAAACTTTGGGAAAACTTTAGCATTAATTTTTTTTAACTTTAGTAGTTAGGTCGGATGTGTGGTATATGGGTTTAACCCAGAAAAGATTTTAAAAGAAAAGCGCCAACATAAAAATATTTTTTGCGGGTGCTTACTGAAAGTGCGCTTGATTATGTGGATATTCATTGAAAATGCGCCTGATTATGCCGATGATAGCATAAGGGAGCGTTTTCCCCTAATCGCAGTGGTTCCAACCCGCTTACACATAAGTGACTGCTTAAGCGGACGTTTAATCCGCACTTTAGAACATTAACAATAAACATACTGGATATGGCGTCTTACTAAATTCTAGATATGGCGTCTTATTAAATTCTATTGTTGTATAATGTTGTTTATTGCCTGTATGATGCTTAGACAACAGAAAATTAGCCTATTTTCTAGTCCTGTTATGGGACAGCATAAGGCTCACACCTTTGAAATAAGGTTCCCTTCACGAGGCAAAATAGGTGAATGTGAAAGTTTAGAAGTGCATACAACCATAAGTCCCCATAACCATTGAAGAAACAAAACAATATGAATGAATATGAAAGGTTTGAAGTGTATATAAACACGAATCACTTGTACTAATTATTTTCCCCTATATTTGTGTGGGGTTATAAAAGTATAATGTTACTGCTGTTATCCATTCATGAGTTATAGATGATTTTGGATTTTTCTTAGCATGTTCAGAATCATTAAGCAAGTCTCAAAACAGACTATATATTGCTCCTTGGAAGCAAGGATGATTAGCGACAATTTTTATGTCTTTTCATCAAATTGTTCTTATGGGCTCAGTGGCAATGCACTCCCTTCCTAAAGTTTCATGGGCATTGTACCAGGGACCAGTTCTATGCAGTTCTCTAAAAGGAGATAATAATACCGATATATATAAAGTCACTAATATCTAGGGGGAGCAGATTTGAATTATAATTGGAAAAAGTATAGCTTATGGATATACCAAACTGCCTTCAGCTTAAGGATGAAGGTGGTTTGATGCCTGATGTCTCTTGGTAGGAGGCAACACTCTCAGGGTGAGGGAGACATCATCGGAACCTTTTCAAGATTGGTTGGAGATTTTTTTGTGAACTTCCAGTATTTGTTGTGTTGCGGTTGGAGTATTTCATAATTTCAATCTAAGAGTAATAATTTGATGCCAGTAGGGCTTTGAATTTTATTACTCTTCACTTTTCCTCTACCCATCCAAAACTTCAGAACCATCCATACCTTATCACGCCCTATCACCCCTTAGAGCTCCATGCACTGTATTTTCTTGCCTCTCCTCCATTGTGTTTCGAGCTTGACAGTTCCAATCCCTGGCAGCTCTTAGTTCCCTCCTCTTAGGTCTGTATGTCTAAAGTTTAGACAACTTTTTTTCACTGTTATTTATTCTTAGATTGGGGTTGACATATTTTATAGTAGACTAATTGTATCATAGAGTTGCAGAATTACCTGATGGCTGATAGCTGATATTCTTGTATAGTGGAGTAATTGAGTGATAGGGTTGTACATTTTCTTTTAAGCCATAAGGTGCTATTTGGTAAGGGGTTAAGACAGAAGGATTGACTAGAAGGATTAAATTAGTTAATCCATCATGAAGGGTTAAATTAATTAAATTCTGTTTAGATTAGATGTTAAGATGAATGTTAACTTTTTTGTGTTAGGGAATTAAAGAACGGTCAATGAGCTCAATTTGTTATTTTTTTAAAAATGTAAGTTGCAAACTAATCAAAAGTAGAAAAAAGTGTTTAATGTTTGTTCAAAAAATATGTTCCCACTTCCTCTACAAAATGCGAGTATATGACAGAAGTGCATATTCATAGTTTCCAAAAGAAAAGGTTTGAAAGAACTTTCATTACAGTGTAAACTTGTAATGCAAATTCTACAAAGATGGCTGTATTCATCCCAAGTGGAAATGTAATACAAGATGAGCAAGTTCAAATTAATAAGAATCAGAACATAAAGAATAGCCAGGTGATGGGGTTGGGGTGAGGGCTCCGATCCAAAAGTAGATGTCTCCCGAATGTGTTGCCTTGGGCGCCAACCCGAATCCGATGGAAAATACGAGATTCTCGATATTGTGAATTTTGATGGGTGCTCGAATCTGAACGTGATCTGAAAGGGGGGAGATGGGAGACGGTAGATTTTTCAGTCATTGATAACTTTCCAGAGCCATATTGTACGACTTTGGCGGTGAGGGATCATAACTCATTAAGGGACGATCATAGGAGAGTCGGCGATAGCGATACTCAAGCGAGGTCGTCGTTGGGGTACGCAATCGGATTCGAAGGATTACATCTCTTATTTATCAATGTCTATCACTCATATAGAGGATTACATCTCTTATTTATAGGAAAAGAAAACAACTAAATACTTAAGAAAGTAAATAAAAATCCTAATTAAATTAAAACATAACAAAACTAAAAGATGCAATCAAATAAAATCCTATAACTAAGGGTGTGTTTGGTAACACAATGCGATTTTTTTAGTGTTTTTTAGAAAAACACCATGTCAAGGTGTTTCTTTTTCAAAAGTGTTTTGAAAACACCATTGTTAGTTACTATTTATATAGTTGGTGGTGGCGGTGCGGCGTGTCGACCGCGGGCCGGCTCGACGGTGGCAGGTCTCATACAGTGGTGCGGGTGGTGGGGCGCGAGGAGGGCGGCGGCGCGCCGGGCAATGGCAGTGATAGCGATGGCCGGTCGCAGGCGCGCGAGCTTGCTGCGGGTCGGCGTCCGGCTAACGGGCGACGACGACGACCGGTGGGCGGTCGCGGGCGACAGCTGGCTGACGGGCGACGGGCGGTTGGGCTCGGTCGCGGCCGACGCCCGGGCGGCGGCAGCCGGCGGTGGCCGGGCGGCGGGGGCCGGTGGCCGGGTGGCGCCGAGCAAGCGGGCGGCGGGCCAGCGAGGGGCTGCGCGCGGCGGACGAGAGCGGCGACAGGGGCGGGCTGGCGGCGCGGCGGCGGTCGGCGGCGCAGGAGGCGGGCAGGCGGCGACGGCAGGCGCAACGTGAGCCGGCGACGGGCAGGCCGGTGCGGGCGGCGACCACCCACGACGACGACGTGGTGGCCGCGTGGCAGCGCACGCGGGCGGCGACGGCGGGCCGGCGCGGGCGGGTGGCGGCCACCCACTGGCGGCAGCGTGGTGGCGGCGACCACGCAGCGGCGGCGCGGTGGCCGCGCCCACCCGCCGGCGGCGGCGTGGTCGGTGGGGCGGCCGGGCAGGCGGCGGGCGTCCCGGTGCGTGGCGCTCGGCGGCGGCGGGCAAGCGAGCGGCGGCGGCTTAGATGAAAAAACCGAATCTCAGAACACCTTTTTGGTGTTTTGAGAAAAGTGTTTATTTTTTGGATTTTGTAAATGATCAAGTCAAAAAAACGTCCCGGTTGCCAAACACGTTTCATTGTTAAAAAAAAAAAAAAACAGAAACGGCAAAAACGCCATGGTATCTAAACGCTCCCTTAAATAGAACGAGATTCAAAATCAAATCCTAACTAACAAGAAGATTACATAGAATAATATAAATTCCTATCAGAAAATAAAAGATTCTAGTAAATCCTAATCGCATTACATGAAGGGTCCACGATTGTCCTGCATTAAATCTCCTATTGTTTAAGAAAACTCGACCTTAAGTTTTATAATGAGAGAGTGTAATGTTTGACTTGATTAGTGAGAAGAATTCTATTGTAGATTGGAAGATCTTCAAGATGAGCTGTAAAACCCGATATTAAGTTGGTGGTGGAGGGTCTGGAATAATGAACTCAATAACCAGATTATCTTGAAATTTGCACCGCATATCGAACTTAAGTTTGGATCCTAGGCTTGACTTGAGCTCTAGGTTTGATTCAAGCTCGAGTATTAGATTGACGTGCTGCCTTGTTTTTTGTTCTAACTCTTGTTTAAGCTTGGGTTGTGGATCTATCTTTTGATTTGTTTCTTGCGGTTGTAGTTCAGGCTCGCACTTTGTATTGATCTTTTGATCTACATCTGATTCTGGCTCACACTTAGACTTAGGCTTTGGTTCTTGACTAAAAAGTCTAAAACTTTGATATTGCTTTGCTTTCTCGTCTGACTCAAGTTGAGGCTTCAGATCTAGATTGAAATTAAATTTTGATTGAAGATTCACATTTGGCCGGGGTTGAGGTATTTGTGTTGGTTTTGCTTCAGAATTTAAAGAGAAATAATATCTTCTAGATGGTGGATTAGAGTACCTCCTCTACAAAAGAGCTTTCATAGTTGTCCACGAACGGATATTTGAATGATAATAGTTTCTATACCACTAATATTTTGTCTCTCTTTAGCCTACACTCAGCATATAAATACATTTCCAGTTTTGTCAAATCATAGATAGAAAATATCTTCTATAGTGAAAATTCGGACGTCAAATTCATAAGGTTCATCATATCCATCAAATCCATAAAAGGAGGCTAGTATACCAAATCTAAGTGGATTAAAATTATACCTTTGTGAAGGAGATAGTGGTATTTTACCCTTGATAACTGTGGATCCTTCGGCTCTGATACCAAATTATTGGGGTTAGGTGGGGGGCTCTGATTCAAAAGTAGATGGCTCGCGAATGTGTTGTCTTCGGTGCCAACCTGGATCCGATGGGAAATCATGAGATTCTCGATACTGTGAATTTTTGTGGGTGCCTGAATCTGAACGTGATCTGGAAGGGCGAGACGGTAGATTTTTTAGTCGTCGATAATTTTCGAGAGCCGTGTTGTAAGATCTTGGCTGCGAGGGATCATAACTCATTAAGGGGTGATTGGAGAAGAGACAACGATGACGATACTCAAGCAGGGGTCGTTGTTGGGGTACGCAATTGAATTCAAAGGATTGTGGCATCATCAGAGGTGAATGGCGTCGGATCTCGAGGTTGCGGTAGGCACTGTTCATAAATGAATAGTAACTTTTTTTTGACTTGTGGTTGAGATCGAATGATTAGGATTGAAAGTGGAGAAATAGCTAGGCCTCACACCTAGGGGTTTCACACCCAAGGGCTTCACACCCCAATAAAAGGTAAATCACGTGCCAAAGAACACTTCACATACTTAAAGAGAATTCTCAAACTCAATTTTTTTATTTATCAATGTCTATCTCTCATAGAGGATTACATCTCTTATTTATAGGAAAAGAAAGCAACTAAATGCTTAAGGAAGTAAATAAAAATCCTAATCAAATCAAAACCTAACAAAACTAAAAAATGCAATCAAATAAAATCCTAGCTAAAATAGAAAGAGATTTCAAAATCAAATCTAAAGAAATTCTAACTAAAAAGAAGATTACATAGAATAATATAAAATCCTACCAAAAAAGAAAAAATTCTAGTAAATCCTAATCGCATTAACATGAAGGGTCCACGATTGTCCTGCATCACCAGGTGACCCCAACTAGGTGAAAATTGAATTATTTATATGAAAATAGTCACCAATTGGCAATTGCCAGCTCATACAATTTACAGATTAAAATATCAAAATGCTAAAATATTAGTTTACGTGCTGCTTGCTTGACCATGTTGAATTGAAATATTAAATCATTAAAATAGGTGATTAACTCAGTGAGTACCAAAATATAAATAAAATGTTAAATGAATATATTAAAATATTATATAATATGTAGCCACTGAGGATTCTTTATTAAAAATGTCACTGTGGCTATACTAAAAATATTATATAACAATGGCCATGGTGAACTATATATCAAATTATTGAACGAGCAGGTTCTATTTTGATGACTATCCAAAGTGTACAGTCGGTTACCATATCGAATGTTCAAGGTAGTTATTAATTTGCGCTGTTTGTCGTGTAAATTCAAGGTAGTTATTAATTTGCGCTATTTGTCGTGTAAATTCAAGGTAGTTATTAATTTGCGCTATTTGTCCTTTCACACGACGGGGTTAAAGCTTAAGCCGTCTATACAGGCGGAATTGTTAACCCGTCACTTGGATGGGTTAAACTTGTGTTAATCCTCACGTGCTGGTTAACAAGTCTCTCAAGTGTAAATAGGTGTTTGGCAGGTTAGTGAAGGGTTAAGCCCCTTTAATCCCTCCGTTAACCCCTTGCAAAATGCAGCCTAAATGAAACTGAATTCTGAACCGATGACAAATTTTTTTGAATCTCTATGGTGACAATAAAGTGTTAATGTTCCTGAAGTCTTTGCTCCTGTGTATTACATTGTTAAAATGAACGAAATGAACAAACTTATAATACTAGTAAATGTGTAAATTTGCTGATGGAATCAATATGTGGTGGGGCTGATGCTCAAGATACTTGTACTAGAACTCAGCCAGTCCTTCGATACACAGAACGTGATTATTTTGTCCTTTTTTTCCATTTTGATTAATTATCATTTCTGGTATTGTTTGCAGATTTTTTTGTATTCAAGGATTTATTTATTTTTTCTTCTCCTCAGAAACATTTAAAAGAATCTCTAATGTTTGGTCCAAATTCTTTCCGTTTCACAGGACATAAAATTTGCTGTTCATGCGCATCCAACCTTATCTGAAGTCCTTGATGAGCTCTTCAAATCCGCCAAGGTATTTCACTAAGTTCTCTGAATATATTGTAGTTATCATCAACCATATGCATATTTTACTGTTTAGGTCGTGGGGTGAAATTAGAACACCCTCAATTATGATGTTACCCTTAAATTTTTAGTTGTGTTATTGAGCATTGTTTACAATGCGATCATGCTTACTTAAAAGAAGAACGAGCAACACCTCAATTATGATGATACCCACAAATTTGTTATTGTCATTTAACATGGTTTGCAATGCAATCATGCTTATTAAAAAAAAAAAAGAATTCACCGTAACCATGAAGATTGATATAGCTATAAGAGATGAAAAATCTTGCATAATGTTACACAGATAACACAAATCTGAGCATTAGCTTTTTTTGGTAGCTCATTTAGCAAAATAAGATGTCAATCTCCACTTTCTATTATGATGTTTAAGTATATTTTTGTTACAGTGAGCAAGATCTCGTTCTTGTTTTCACAGGTTAATGCTGGTGTATCTAATTCTGTACCGGTTGCAGCGTAAGCATTGTGACAAACAGCGTAAGCATTGTGATAAACGGCTTAATTATCTGGAGGAAGCATTCTTACATATTGTTGGCCACATCAAGAGCATCTTATTTTCTTCAAAGTAAAGAGATCCTGAACATCATCCACCAGTTACGACTTCTAGTAAGAAAGGTCAATTTTTCAAAATTATTAGGAGCTGTTTATTAAAGTTTTGATTCTTTAATATAATGGTAGTGATCGTTATTATTGTAAACAAAACAGCTGGTGCTTTTTTCCTTTCTATAGTCTGATGGATTGCATTTGTTTTGAGAAGAGCTGTGTTGAGTTTGATTCATGTTGATTTGTTGAAATTGTTCCTCGAGGCCTTTCATCCACTAGTACTTTTCGTGTATTTTGACGAAACACAAGGAGAGAAGGAATCTATAAAAAAAACTAAAATGCTAAAAACAGTGCCTGCAATAATGAACTCTCTTTGTATCATATGAACTATGTATCTCTTTTTCAATATTATCTAGTTTTCTCATATCCTTTTTGTACCCGCATGTGTATTCACTTATATTCATATGCATATTCATATCCGTATTTGATTTTAGCGAATATGGATATGAATTTTTCTTACATATGCATATATGTATCCATATCCGTGATTGGTAAGCAAATACATATACGGTAAGTATCATACATCCGAGCAATATTCGGATTGTATGCACCCCTGATTCTGAACCGCAAGCCAATGAATGGTGCAAAGCTCTACCATGTTTGTAGTTGCACGGTGTAGATTTTCTGCTTGCAGGACAATATTCATAAGGATCTTTTATCAATTACTAGTATGGTGCACATGCGTTGCATGTGTATATGTTCTCATATTTAATATATTTACTAACGCAAGTGTATATGTTTTCATATTTAATATATTTACTCGGACTATGTAAAAGTTCAGTCTTGGAAGTAAATTTTATTAAAAATTAGTTTTGCTTAAGTATAATTTTAGTGCAAGTAATTAATATAACCTTCATTGTAGTAATTAAATCATATATAATAAGATAAAAAATTATAATATAACTTTATATATTTAGTAATTATCATATAGTAAATTATAAAAATTATGTATCGAATTCACATATCCACTAATTAGTTTTCTGTAACTAGCGCCTTTAATTTATTGAATATGAATATATTTTAGAAATTGTAAGATAGAGCAGAACAATTTTTTAACATATTATGCTGAATTAATATTTACCAACCATTTCAATATAATAAGTAAGAAATTAAATATATATTAGCAATAATATTGCATAAAGTTGTTATTGGGTGGATATTCCTTGTTAACATAATATATTATTGAGAAATAATATGATTTCATACAGGTTTTTGTCACTAAGTAAATTTGATGTGTATACATTTGATAAATAGGAATTGTACTGTATATATATGACGATCTCTTGGAGAAACACAATAGAATTTAAGAAAGTGCAAGGTTTATTGAATGAAATTCTATGTTCTTTTGACTTTTTCATACATTTTCTTCAAACTTAAATATGGATTTTGTCTTGTCAATGGCTCTTGACTTCATATGCTAATAATCCAATAGTTATTTCTTATTTCATCATGTGAAAAAAAAAATATTGCTAGTGAAGTTGACGCTCGAGTTTTTTTGGTGCTATAATTAAAATTTGTGTTGGATTTTTTTTATCCTTTCTTGTATGTTGCAACTCCACAATAAGACCACAATTTTAAATTGCAAACTTAAAGTAGGAACAATGGAGAGAAGCAAATAGATGTATGTTCAGACTTCATAACCACCTTTTTTTTATCGGGTTCTGAATTTAGTTATTCATTGGTTTTTTTTTTTTTTTTTACTTTTTTTTGGCAAAGCTGTGCAATGAGTTCTTTCATGAGTTGAATATGCAAATAATGTAAAAATAAATAGAGCTTTTCTTCATAAACTTAAACGTTTTTGCTAAAATTGAAGAACTTTTTCCACAATTCAATCAAATATATGAAATATAGATTTGCATGACAAATGTTGGTAATCGATATTTAAAATGACTTATCGAAAAAAAAAAAAGACAGAGATCAATCAATATTCCAAATGAAGACAAAGATTAATCTACATTTCTAGCGTCCAAGCGCTGGCAGCTCTGCTTGAGCTCATTGTAGTGGGATTTATAAGGTGCCGAGACCCACGTGTGGCGATGCTTAGATGAAGATGGTTGAGATTTATAAGGGAATGACGAAAGGGATGTTACATTTTAGGAAAGAGAAAGGGTGTGTTGATTAAGGCTAAACAGGTTTAGTGGGTGCGTGGTTTAGGGATAACGGTAATTGCGACTTAGGCTCTGTTTGGCAAAACTAGCTGAAAGCTACGAGATTATAGCTGAAAGCTATTAAGCTAACTGAAATCTGTGAAATTATAGCTGAAAGCTGATAGCTGTGTAACTAGCTGATTGACTAAAACTGTTTGGCAAAAGTAGCTGTACAACTAGCTTAAATTTGTTAAATGACTAAAAAAAACATACAATATCATTGATATAAAATTAGAATTATTAGGGGCAAAAACGGAAGAAGAAAAATTGGTCTTTTGCAAGTAGCTTTTGGAAAGCTATCTCAAGTAGCGTTTGTCTTTGGGAAGGAGCTGCCAATTTTCTTCTTCCGTTTTTGCCCCTAATAATTCTAATTTTATATCAATAATATTGCATGTCTTTTTTATTCATTTAACAAATTTAAACTAGTTGTACAGCTACTTTTGCCAAACAGCTCTAGTCAATCAGCTAGCTACACAGCTAACAGCTTTCAGCTACAATTTCACAGCTTTCAGCTAGCTTTACAGCTTTCAGCTATAATCTCGTAGCTTTCAGCTAGTTTTGCCAAACAGAGCCATAATCTCCAAAATAATCTCCTCCTATTTTTGATCACAAAACAGCTCTACTAGCTTATTGACCAAGTTAATAAGACACAATCTCTTAGATAAGACACAATCTCTTGTTGTCAAACAGTGCCTTCATCTTCAGATGGAACTTATGGTGTGATAAAGCTAAGTGATATATAATATAATTTTGATAACTAAGTACATCTAAGGCACTGTTTGAGCACTGTTTGGCAACAAAAAAAGTGTCTTATCTAAGAGCTTGTGTCTTATTGACTTGGTCAATAAGCAAGTAGAGCTGTTTGGTGACAAAAAATAGGAAGAGATTATTTTGGAGATTGTGTCTTTTGCAAGTAGCTTTTGGAAAGCTATCTCAAGTAGCGTTTGTCTTTGGGAAGAAACTGTCAATTTTTTTTCTTCCATTTTTGCCCCTAATAATTAGGCCAAATGAAAGCTACTACCCCACCCAAAAATACCCTAGCTCTTTTTTATTTCACGCGTGAAACCCCTTCTGCAATCAGATGCTTGCATAATCCATCTTATTCAAAGAATCTATATTCCATAATTGTCTACAATATTAGATGTCGTATTTACTGTTTTCTTCCAATTGACCTCTCAATGTTTGTGTATTTTTCATAATGTTTTCCCTTATTATGTGATGAAGGTTATTGTTTTTATCACGTGCATTGCACGTGCAATCCAACTAGTAAATAAATAAATAAATGAGTGTTGAGTAATTCTAATTTTATATCAATAATATTGCATGTCTTTTTTAGTCATTTACAAATTTAAGCTAGTTGTACAGCTACTTTTACCAAACAGCTCTACTTCAATCAGCTAGTTACACAACTATCAGCTTTCAGCTATAATTTCACAGCTTTCAGCTAGTTTCACAGCTTTCAGCTATAATCTCGTAGCTTTCAGTTAGTTTTGCCAAACAGAGCCTAAGTCAATAATAATAATAATAAAGTGAAAGTGCCTCAAAAAGCGAATAATAGGATTAATCTTTGAAAATAATGTATAATTATTACATATTAATATCTAAAGTTTAGTATAAAATAGATATATCTAATGATGGTAATTAACAGTTACGATACAGTTTAAAATTATATCTAACTGTAGTAAATATTAGTTATGTATAGTCAAAAAAATGTCATATGTAAGTAATTAATTAATTATTTAAAATTGAGGATTATGAGAAGAATTTTAAAGGGTAGAGTAAATGTATGCATTTATGTATGTTTGATTTGAAAGATGTTAAGAGGTATGATTTATGTATGCATGTATGTGTTTTATGTGTGGATGAATGAGTGTTAAAAGGTATTTTAAGAAGAAATATTTTAACATGACAACACACTTTTATATAATAATAATAATAAATAGTATAAGATTATGGGCTAATCAAATCTTATTCACTCTTGGAGAAAGTATCACACACAAGTTATCTATTTAAGTGACTTTGGTCCAAACTAGTGACCATGCACCAAAATATGATTATCAACAACTGTAGAATCTTTTCACCATCTAAGACTACTCATAAATTACTTTTTCTAGATAGGTTTAAACTAGGGGTGGTAATCTAGACCCAAACCCAATAATCTATCCATACCTCAATCTGATCCACACCCACGCATCCTAAATGGGTGTGTATTGCTTCCATACATCCTAAATTGTTCATAACCAAACCCGTCCATAACCAACCCAATCTGATCCACACCCACGCGTTCTCCGTTCTCCTTTCTCCCCTCTTTCTCAAACGCTCGAGCCCTAGTTCCTCTCTCTCCTCTCAAGCGCTCGATTTCACCTCTCCCCATCGAGCTTCCTCATCTCTCTTCGATCGAGTCATAGTTCCTCTTGATCAACAGGAGAATCGAATCTTCAACTTGTGGAGGCAATGATTAGGGTTTGAGTCTTGTTTGAGCGTCTCTCCTGTTCAAATTTAGGCCTTTGATCGAGCTATTACAACATTCAGGTCTTCAATCGAACTAATCACTGGATTTTGGGGTACATTCTTAGTAGGGTTTCTTGATCTTTCTTTCTTTCAATTTTGGGGTTTTTTAATCCTATCTCCTTTCAGTTTTGGGATTTTCTTGAGTCTTTTATTCTTATGGGCGTTAATGTTATAAATTGAGGAGCTTTGTAGTATGTCTTGAGATCATATTGGATTGATAAATTTTGTTGAAATTTTGGTTTAATTTGAAAAGTTTGAATTTTTCTGTACAGCTATAACATCATAGTATGTGAGGTGCATGCATCTAGAGTAACTAATCCCTATATTATTGTTTATTTACATTTTATTACAATTTCATTAGTGTCTTTTTCCCTCTACGCAGCCTAGCTATCCGAGGTAGCAGCAGTGGATGAATTTATGCTAGCAATATGTGCAAAGCCAGGGCTGTCCATCCGGGCCGGGCCGGCCCGGCCCGGCCCGGAAAACCGGGCCCGGGCCGGGCAAAACCCAAGCCCGGACCCGGGCCCGACCGGGCCGGACACCGGGCCGGCCCGGATTTTTTTGTTTTTTTATTTTTTTATTTTTTTAAAAATTTTAAAAAACAATAAAACATAAAAATTATATTTATATAATAGTATATATATATTTATACTCTTATATAAATATAATTATATTATATGTACATATAAGTTTATGTTTATATAATTATATATATGTATAGATATATAAATATATATTTATACTCTTATATGTATTTATACTATTATATAAATATACTTATATATGTACATATAAGTTTATGTTTATATATGTGTATATATAAGTATACTTATATACTAAGAGAGAGAGAATATAAATATATATATAAGAGAGAGTATACACTGTACACATATATAAGAGAGAGCATACTTATACATATATATAATTATATAAGAGATATAAACATATATAAGAGAGAATATACTTATATTTATATATACTTATATACTAAGTAGCCCAAAGTATTCATGTCATTCAATATATGTATATGTATATATATACACACACACACTGACACACATATACATATATTATACATAAACAAATTGTAAATACTTATAGTAATTACATAAACAAATTGTATTATACATAAAAACACACACACATATAAACTTATATATACACACATATATTATACATATATAAGAGAGAGTATACTTATATATACTTATACATATATTATACATATATAAGAGAGAGTATACTTATACATTATACTTATATATATATATATATTCAGGTCACTATCAACATGATCGGCCGAGGGAAAGCCTTGCCTACTGATTCCGATGAGTCACAAGAGAGTCATCACTCGACTGTCAGAGAAATTTGTGACCAGTTCGAAGGAGTATATCAGAATACTCGGACTCGAACAGGAGCTATTCGCCCGGTTGACTATCAAAAGTTAGCCAAAGGCATTACAACAAGTGAGGAGCATTCGGCAATAGCCGAATCTCAATCTTCAAGCTCTGTTGGAGCACGCGAGGTCTCCGCTTACATGTCAGGGAATCACGAAGACATCGCCAAAAGAGTGGACGAACATCATGTCATGCTCCAGGCGCAACAGGAGACACTTCTCCAATTGAAGGATATGTTGGCTCAGCTTCTTGCTGAAAAAGGCCACAAACCTGAGTCTTCCCGGAGAACAACTTCAAAGGGAAAACAAAAACTGCATGAATATTCAGACCGTGAGACTCACAACCTGGGATCCTCTTCCGAGGGTGAGAGGGAGATCGAGAAAGAACTGCACCCTCAATCTACTAAGGTGGATGAGCTGGAGGCTCGCCTTAACGCAATCGCCAACCGAAGCGAGCTCCGGGAAGAGGGAGTTGTGCGGCCTTACCCTGCTGAGTGGGATACAGCTCCCTACCCACCGAAGTTTAAGGCCCCTACCTTACAACCGTTCGATGGTACAGGATCGCCAAATCAGCACATTTACTACTTCAAGTCCCAAACTGGGGATGTAGTAGCAAACGACGCCATCCTGACCAGGCTGTTCATCGGTACCCTTAAGGGTGTCGCCTTCGAATGGTTCATGAAATTGCCTGCCGGATCTATTCAGAAATGGGTAGACCTGGAAAGGCTATTCTTGGCCAGATTCTTTGAGGACGACACGGAGGTCTCGGTCCCAACTCTTCTTGCCACTAAGCAAAGGAAAGGAGAGTCCATCAAAACCTATGTGGAGAGATTCCGCAGCATGGCATTGCGATGCCCCTCAGGTATGACCCAATCAACTCTGGTTGAAACTTGCAGGCACAACCTGCAGACCCAGCTCCTTGCTCAAATGGGGGTGGCAGAATGTCGCTCCTGGAGACAACTAGTCTCACAAGGAGAACAAGCTGAAGAAATAGTGGCACGGGTCAAAGCCGAAGAAATGCCACAACCCAAGCCGCAGCAGCAAAATCAGCAACGCAACCAGAACAACGCCCAACGGTCTAAGGGGAAGGAGACCTTGGCGGCCGACTACACGCGAGTTCCACCGCCGAACAAGCAGGGCAAAGCGCCAGAAGACCGTATCCACTAATATGATAGCGGTCCAATTCGGTGACTTCCCCCCGGTGGTAACTGCGAACGGCGTCGTCCCCATTCGCAAGGGAGAAATACGTCTGAAGAATGTTGACTTGCATAGTCAGAAGGACAGGGGGTTGGTGCCCCTCACTACCCCAAAAGGGGAAATCATGTGGGTCCACCCTGATCTGCTAGGAGATCAACAATGGACGAACACCCCGTCTAAAAAGAAGGGAGGCAAGGCTAAGTCTTCCAACATGATAACGGCGGACGGCGTCGTCCCCATTCGCAAGGGAGAAATACGTCTGAAGAATGCTGACTTGCATAGTCAGAAGGACAGGGGGTTGGTGCCCCTCACTACCCCAAAAGGGGAAATCATGTAGGTCCACCCTGATCTGCTAGGAGATCAACAATGGACGAACACCCCGTCTAAAAAGAAGGGAGGTAAGGCTAAGTCTTCCAACATGATTAGCCCCTCCATTACTGAAGATGATGACCACCTCAAGCCTCTTACTGATTCAGAAGAGGAGAGGATTGTTCTAGCGGCATACCCAGAAGGCAATCCTGGCACTCGGTCAGGAAAAGCTTACCTGAGAGATTATGGCCAGAACACTCCAGAGGTCGAGGAACAGCCCCAAGACGCTGGGGGTTCTGTTCCGAAAAAGCCAGTGGACAAAGGAAAACAGAAGGAGCTCCGATTCCACAGAAATCTCCACCAGGAAACTGGAGAGTCGAGCGCTCGTGGTGCAATTTGATACCACTAAGAACCGCTTTTTAGCTGCTGATGATGAGTTTGTGATCAAATACTGGGATATGGATAATGTCAACCTCTTGACAACGGTTGATGCTGATGGTGGTCTACCTGTATGTTTTATTATGAGTCCCCATATGGCTATAATTAAAAATTCACTCAAATATGCGTGCACATACACACTATGATGAAAGTATAGCTCATACATAATTATCTCATAGGCGTCTTTAATACCTGTAATTATTAGGCAAGTCCGCATATACGCTTCAACAAGGAGGGAACGCTGTTGGCCGTTTCTGCACATGAAAACGGAATTAAAATTTTGGCAAATGCTGATGGATTGCGTCTGTTGCGTACATTTGAAAATCGTCCTTTTGATAATTCTAGAACTGTTGCAGACAATGCCACAAAGGTAACCACCCGTGATTACTAGAAGCATTTGGCCTATGATTTCAGATTAGGAGATAACTCTGCTTCATGACTTGGACGTTCTACTGCTTATGCAGAATGTAGTACCTCTTTCTGCTGGTGCTGCTGCAACGAGTTCTGGATTAATGGATAGAGCTTCTCCAGCGGCAGCAATGACTGGGATGGTTGGTGACATTTTCATTCAAATATTTCTTCTCTAATGATTTCTTTTCAACAAATAATCAATGATGCAGCATGAGTCACTTTTTTCTCCTTACTCATTTGAACCATTTTCATCCAAATATATATTTCCTTATGGCGCTTAAAGATTTATGTTCAACCTGACATTAATGTTGACAGAATGGAGATGCTAGAAGCTTAATGGATGTAAAACCAAGAATACCTGATGACTTGACAGACAAATCAAGGATTTGGAAGCTTACTGAAATTAATGAACCCACACAATGTCGATCTTTATGGCTTATGGATAACATGAGAGCGAGCAAGGTAACACCTTTTTGTTAGTTCTATTATATTGCCTTTTTTTGTTGCTATATCACTCCGAGAGTCTCTCTTTGTATTCTGATATAGGATATTTGGACTCCACGAATGGAAGTTTACTGATTTCTCAAGCAGTGTGTAGCTTGGGATACATCACACATGCAATCCTTTGTGTCTTGCGTTGTGCATGTCAGAAATTACATGTCTGCTTTTATATCCCAAGTAGAGTGTGGCTGGGGAAACATCATTCATGCAATCCGTGTGTTATGAGTCATGCATGCTAGAAATTTAACATGCCTGCTTTTATGTCACATATCTCCACAATTGCAAGCCTAATTCATATGTTCTTTAACCTTTTACATAAATTTCCCTTAACTCATCTTTTGCCATTGAGATTTCATCTGCAAAAGCAGAGAACTTTTATTATAATTTTTTGTTGACATTAGTAATAAATTTTTGTTGACATTAGTTGAAGATTCTTATTAGATTGAGTTTCTGTTATTACAGATATCGAGGTTGATTTATACAAATTCGGGTGTTTCAATCCTAGCGTTAGCATCCAATGCTATTCATCTTCTTTGGAAGTGGCCTCGAAGTAACAATGGGAAGGTATAAAAAAATGTCTATTCCAGCATTCAAGGACATAGAGCCTTGCATATGTGTTTTCTCACATACTACACTTTGTAGGCAACTGCAAGCATTGACCCACAATTATGGCAACCACCAAGTGGCATATTGATGACCAATGATAGAGCCAACACCAATCCTGAGGAAGCAGTTTCTTGCTTTGCTCTGTCAAAGAATGATTCTTATGTCATGTCAGCATCAGGGGGCAAAATTTCTCTATTCAATATGATGACCTTTAAGGTAATCTTTTAACTCAGTAACACAAAGTGTTCTTATTTTCTATGTTAACAAATTTGGCTTGCGTTTATTGCAGACAATGACAACTTTCATGGCTCCGCCACCTGCAGCGACATTTCTTGCATTCCATCCTCAAGACAACAACATTATTGCTATAGGGATGGACGACTCTACAATCCAAATCTACAATGTCCGAGTTGATGAGGTACGAAGAAAAAGAAACAATATTGTTTGCTTTATTGAGAAGGGAAAGTTAGGTTCTAACCAATTCTTTATACAGGTCAAGAGCAAGCTTAGAGGCCATTCAAAAAGAATTACTGGTCTTGCCTTCTCAAATTCTCTAAACGTTCTGGTCTCATCTGGAGCTGATTCTCAGGTGACATTTTATCTTACATATGGCAACATATGATTGTTACAATTTTTGTTCTGCTGGAAACTGGCCCCAGCATTGGTGCTGTGTCAATACACTTAACTTGATTTCCTCGTATTGAATCTTCATGGAAGTTTTCAAGCCCACTTTCAGATTTTATCATTTCTGGTCTTTCATATGAACAACTTAAATATCATAAGGAAAATTTTGGAACCTCATGTCACTTTACTATGTTTCTTCTGCAGCTTTTTGTTTGGGGAACTGATGGATGGGAGAAACAAAAGAACAAGTTCTTGCAAATTCCATCAGGTCATAGTTCACCTACTGTTTCAGATACCCGTGTTCAGTTCCATCAGGATCAGATACACTTCCTAGCTGTACATGAGACCCAAATAGCTCTATATGAAACCAGTAACCTAGAGTGTGTTAAGCAGGTATTGTCTTTTCTGAGAACTCCAGATTTCAGTTCCTCAAATACTATATTTGCTTTATTTGTTAACTTGTGAAAATTCGGTCTATAGTGGGTTCCACGTGAAGGTTCTGCGCCAATCTCCCACGCCACATTCTCTTGTGACAGTCAGTTGATATATGCAAGTTTCTTGGATGCTAGCGTTTGCATATTTAATGCTGCGAATTTCAAGCTGAGATGTCGAATCAATCCTGCCGCCTATCTCCCTGCTAATCTCAGGTAGTTTTTGCTTCTGAAAAATACTGGCTTCTTACCTGTAGTGCACTGTAATATATGGTTATTTTATCTTTAGTCATGCTGTTAATCTTTCCCTTCATTCCTCTCTTGATATTTCTTGATGGTCCAACTTGCATGTTCTTGACTTCTATGTAACAAACTGTAGTTTGGTAATTTGGCTGTTAATTTGAAAATACTTAGCTTACTATCTCATATGTGTTGCTTGCCCATCAATTATACATTTTCTTTAAGATTCTATATCTTCTCTCTAATTATAAAGCAGTCCATTATCTTGTCTCGTCTTTCGAACAATATCATCAGCAAACTAATACATCAACTCTCCTATAAAACGCACCTAGGAGCTTACATTTATAACAAATGTAAAGGACAATGACTTAATTTCAGACCTTGATGTAAGATATGATATTCAAGAGTTGATTGGTACTCGTACTTATATTTCTCTATCATGCATCTCTCTAGTCACAACTTAAATTTCTCTATCATGCATATCTTTAGTCACATAAATAACATTATCGGGCAGACAAGTCTTTCTTCTTGAAACAACATATCATTAAGAAACTTGAAAGGGCATGAAGCACTGTTGTCCTTAGAATGATACATTTAACTACCCTATATTTCCTGCAATTTTAGAACAGTACATTTGGCTACCCTATATGACAAACTTGGGAATTAATTTGAACTGTATGGACACTACTTCCTAGTTCCTACTTTCATAATTTTAAACAACCGTATTCTTTTTAAATATGTTTTGGGATTTTCTTCTATATAATTCTTAAAGACACGAAGCAAAATGCTTAGTATATGCTATGCCTACGGACTGTATCATGATCTCTTCTAACTTCCTATCTATGGTTCTTATGTGATTCTAGCTCAAGCGTCTATCCAACTGTAATTGCTGCACATCCATCAGAACCCAACCAACTTGCCCTGGGACTTACAGATGGCAATGTTCATGTATTGGAACCGTTAGAATCCGAAGGTAGATGGGGAGCTGCTCCACCCGCTGAAAATGGATCTGCAAGCAGCATGTCCCCAGTGCCTCCGGCTGGATCATCAAGTTCAGATCAACCTCAGAGGTGATAGAAATTTCAAAGTTCCCCAACCATAACATAACTAAGGTAAAAGCGTCATATCAGTACAATAAGCATCCGTATTATATTATGGGTTAGTTGCATACACACCCCCTATAGTATGAACGTACAGCCACTAATATTCCCTAAACAATCTTATTATAACTTGAAATTCCAGAGCTCTGGACGCTGTTGTTCCCCAACTTAGGTTGATATGTCATACGAGAATCACGTGATTACGAATCACCTTTTGTTCTTTCTTTAGCCGGAAAAATGACCAAAGAAAAAAAGATAAAAAGGGAAAAGAAAAGAAAACCGGACCCGGGTTTTGCCCGGGTTTCCGGGCCCGGGCACGACACCGGGCCGGGCCCGGGCTCCGGGCTTTTTGGACACCCCTATGCAAAGGGTCATTTGGTAGACTTCCAGCTGTTAGCTTAATATCTACATATATTTGCAATGTGAGAACATAAATATATGGTTGTAGGCCTTAATTATCTGTTTGTTTGGGTTAGACTTTCCTTCTGTTAATATGGTATCAAACGAAGTTATAGAACTTAGCTTGTAATTATGCTCGTCTAAGCTTAATATCTACATATATTTGCAATGTGAGAACATAAATATATGGTTGTAGGCCTTAATTATCTGTTTGTTTGGGTTAGACTTTCCTTCTGTTAATATGGTATCAAACGAAGTTATAGAACTTAGCTTGTAATTATGCTCGTCTAGTTTCAAGTAACTGTACGAATAAACAAACCTTTGTTGTGGGTATATTATGGAGCCGGTTCCCTGATATTTGAATTTTAATCTGAAAATGTTCTCAGTTTGTTGGGTAGTGTTCTTTTTCTTATTGTAGTTATTTGTTATATACGAAGCTATTTTATTAACTTTTGACATTTGATTTGATATTAAAAAGTTATTTTTCTTGTTTCAGTTACTATATCTTTGAATGAATTTACTGCATGCGACGATGGTAGTGAAGCTGATAATAAAACTATATCTAAACGCAAAAGAAGAGTAAAATCAAAAGTTTGGGAGTATTTTACTGAGTTGCCTGTTGATAGTGATGGGAAAGCTAAAGTTCAGTGCAAGAAATGTGACCAAGTTTATGTTAGGGTCGTGGTACCACAAATATGTTGAGGCATATTCATTCTTGCCCAAAACGGGATATAGATGAGGCTGATTCATCGTGGAAAACTATGCCATTAGATCAAGATAACTACAGAGATATGTTGGCTAGGGTCATTGCATTGCATGGTTATTCATTCTGTTTTGTGGAACATCGAGGGATACGCGAATTACATACATTTTTAAATCCTGAAGTCAAGCATATCTCGAGGAACACCACTAAAGCTTATTTGCTTAAGTTGTACAAGAAAGAAAAAACATTCTTAAACAAACTTTGAAACTAGTTCCTACCAGAATCAGTCTAACTACAGATTTGTGGACCTCTTCAACATCAGATTACTACATGTCTCTTACTGCACATTACATTGATGAGCAATGGATCTTGCAAAACAAAATATTAGTTTTGTCTCATGTTTCACCCCATATAGTGGGGCAATTTTAGTAGAGAAGCTATTTTATTTACTGAAGGAGTGGGGCATAGAAAAAAGAATTTTCACTGTTACATTGGATAATGCATCATATAATGATGCTTTTATAAAAATTTTGAAAGACCATCCTGCTTTAAAGGAACATTTTGTCTCCAATGGTGAATTTTTGCATGTAGGATGTTATGCTCACATTTTAAATCTTGTTGTACAAGATGGTTTAAAAATAATTGATAAATCTTTATCTAAGTTTATAGAATGCATTAAATATGTGAAGAGTCCCCCTGGAAGGAAGAAAAAAAATTTGTAGAGTGTATCGAACAAACTTGTTAAGAAAATTCAGCAAGATGTGTCCAATAGGTGGAATTCAACCTTTTTAATGTTGGAGAGTGTTTTACCTTTTCGTCGGGCATTTGAGCAATTGAAGGTAATCTATTCAAATTTTATATTTTGTCCATCAACTGAAGAATGGGTAAATGCTGAAAAAATAACAAAGTTCTTGAAACCTTTTTATGAAGTGCGCACTCTTTTTTTTGGAAGTAAATACCCAACTTCTAACTTGTATTTTGGTAGAGTTTGGAAGATATAAAAATGCATAAAGGAGGAGATGACAAGTGAAGATGAAGACATAAAAACCATGGCAAGTGATATGGAGAAAAAGTTTAATAAATATTGGAAGTGTTATAGTAAGATTTTGTCCTTCGCATGAATCCTAGACCCCCGTTATAAGGTGAAGTATGTGGAGTTTTGTTTTCAAAAAATGGGTCTTGGTTCTACTCATGTGGTGACTATCTTGGATAAGCTAAAGCTTCTTTACAAAGAATATGAGAGAGCATCAAATGATATATGCATGACCAATAATTGTTCGGAAGAGGCCTTTGGAGATGTTCGTGATGATGAGATGCTTGAGTTTGAACAGTTTGAGAGCCAACTAGTTTCAGTCAGTAGGACCAAGTCTGAATTAGAAGAGTATTTAGATGAAAAGATGCTTTCTTGGAAGAAAAATGAGAATCTAAATGTTCTTGAATATTGGAAAGTAGAATCTGAGAAGTGTCCTCAATTATCCATGATGGCTCGTGATATACTCAATATCCATGTTACTTCAGTAGCATCTGAATCTGCTTTCAGCATAGCTGGTCATGTGCTTGATAAGTATCGCAATCGTCTTCTTCCGAAAAATGCCGAAGCTCAAATATGCCTTGGTTCTTGGTTAGATAGGGTTCCTTGTAAGTTGCTTACTTTTTCTTGTTACCTTCTATAAATTTACAGTGTACATGTGTTATATTAGACTAACATAGTTGTATCCTATGATCTAAATGCAGCTTTGGTAGATATTGAAGAAGGACATTTGTTGGTGCATGATTTTAGTGATATTCAAAATTTTGAATCTGAAGGTGAAATCTAGATGTGTATTTTCTTTGAGGTATTTTCTCTCTTCCTTTTCTCTCTTGATGACATTGATGGAAAATGAACCAAAAAGGTACTAAAAGATCAAATAAAGGAGAGGGATCAATTTTTTTTTAACCGTGTAGTTTGATTTTGGCAGATAGGACCCTTGGGTAAAATCTTTTATGGCACATTTTATGCTGGGCCAAATTTTGGTGAATATTAACAGATGGTGAAATTAGTGAGTATATGAGTTAAAAAGTCAAAATAATTTCATTCCAGGGTCTATCTGCCAAGAATCAAACTGCAGGATTAAATAGTTCTAGAGGGCGACAGTGCAAGGGGTTTGTGTACGTTGTAAAGATCATCGTTTTGTAATCTTTGTTTTAGCTCTTTGATATGTGAGAGTCGTCAGATTGTAACTCTCGCTGTTGATTGTGAAGACTATTGATTAGTGTTAGCCCTTTTGTTTTGATGATGTTTTACAACCACCATTATCGGTACTGATGGCTTATTGAGTGCAAATGTAGTAAATTCATTTATCAAGCTTGTTAGTGCCATGTATGGAGGATAAATGGAATATATGCTACAACGATGATATCCAAAGGAGGAGGATGCATAATGATGAAGCAATGTTAATTCAAGAACAACAAATCCATAAAGAAGCTTCATCAAACTTAAAGCTATCAAGACTCAAGAACTGTATTCTATGTGAGGATATTAGCTAGTTTTTATTTTCTCTCTAGTGCTAGAATGTAGGCAAAGAGTTATTGTTTTTACTTGAAGCTATTGGGAATCACACACACGTTTTCATACTTATGTTTTTAAGCGTTTTTCACAAAATACTATTTATCATAAGTATGAGGACCTATCTATAAAGTTCTTTTTCCAAACAGTTTATTTTTATTATTAAAAACATTCTACAAAGTTTCATAATTTTCAGAGGTCATATAAATATTTTCTAAATATTTTTGAGTCAAAAACTGTTCTGGAGCATATCAGAATGCGGTCGACCGCACCGGTCGACCGCACTTAATGTCATTCGTCACTGGGCTCCAGAGAGGTCGTCGGTCGACCGGTGCGGTCGATCGAAATCTCAATTTTTATATCGGTCGACTGCGCCGGTCGACCGATGATGGCTCTGTTTGTTTTCTAAGTTTTCACTGCTGCTCGCGGTCGACCGAATTTTCGGTCGGTCGACCGAATTAATTTTTCGGTCGACCGAACGTTATTTCGGACGACCGAATTTCTCTTCGGTTAGCCGCGACTTTTTTAAACGGTCATTTGCCTAGAACACTGTGCTTTCACTTAATCGTGTTTGGCACAGTCTGAGCTAAGGGTCTGAAAAGGAGATTATTTTCCTATTTGAGAAGATTGGTCTTCTCCCTTAGCCCTAACGTTTGCAAAAAACCAGAGAGACGCTGTTTTCCTGAGAAAAATTTTCAAAGTCTGGTTTCTGTGTTTTCTCTCTGTTTTTGTGTGTGATTCACTTCCCAGCTTCAGTACTCTTTCTCTTTGCCATAGGGTCTTGTAAAGAGAGAATCTTGCATCATTTTTATTGCTGTGTGAGGGTGATCTTGTGTAGATCAACTGTGAGGGTTGGGATCTGTTGAGATCAACTGTGTAGTGAGAGATTGAGAGGCAATCGCTGTGTAGAAGAAGTTCCGGCTTCCAAACCGGGTGTGTAGTGGATTTCTCCTCGAGAGTGGGGAGCAGGGACGTAGGTCAGCGGGCCGAACCTCGTTAACACATCGCGCGTCAAGGATAACGATTCCTAACCCTATCTCACTTACCTGTTTTGTGGTTTGCTTGTGTTTAATTTTTATTGCATATTAGAGCCGCTTGACCCTAATCACCCCCCTCTAGGGTCCAACAATTGGTATCAGAGCTTGGTCTCTATATTAATTTTTGGTTTAACCGCCTTAGAGAAAAGATCTAATGGGGGCCTCTTTGAATATGCATATGTTAGAAGGACAGTCCACCACTAGACCACCACTCTTCACCGGGACCAATTTTGCTTATTGGAAGGCTAGGATGAGAATTTACCTTCGTTGCATTGATCTTGACATCCTAGAGCTCATAGAAAAGAAATATGTAGA